GAAAGCTTACTTGGTAATGTGATAGCCTTGCAAGAATGAAGTCTTGAGTTCAACTCCCTATAATCTATGATAAAAAGCTGTGTCCATTGATGTGCATATGTAACCCCAGTGATAGTGATGTAGAGATAGAGATAGGCAGACCCTCAGATGATTGTGGGGAAAGCTAGCTTGGCCTATAGGAAAAACTTTCAGGACAAAGAGACTGTGCCTCAAACAGAAGGTGAAAGGTATTTGAGAATTGGCCCTTCAAATTGTTCTCTGATTCTCACACATTTATCATGCACATATGCACCCCAAATAAATACATAAATAAATAAATAAATAAATAAATAAATAAATAGTATTTAAAAAAACTAGGACAACTCAGTGGGTAAAGGGGTTTGCTTATGTCCTTTGACTATTTGCTATAAAGTCCAGAAAATGAGTTTGATTCCCAGAACTCACATGGTAGATGGAGAACATAAGCTCCTTCAAGTAGTCCTCTGATCTCCATACATGTTCTATAACACATGTTAGCTTTGCCCTACACACCACTAAATAAATAAGATGTAATTCTAAAATGTAATTGAACAAAGACTATGTGCTGGAGTGCAGTGGCTAAGAGGGGAGAAACCTCGATGAGAATAATGGATAAACAGAGATCATATAATGGAGGAAAGATTGGTAGGGACCAGCATGGTAATAAAAGCAGTAACTGTTCAGAAGGATATAAAGAAGGCCCATCAGATTCTGACAATGGAACTGTCTGGTATAGTTCTGCAATTGAATAACATGATCAGAGACAGTTTTCTATATGGTCTCCTCTGCCCCAACCTAAGGGCATGCATTCAGCTATTTGGACATCTCCTTCTGCAGCTAGAGCTGAGACTGTCTTCTACAACTGAGGCTGATGCTTCTTCCATGTTTTGTCTCTTATTTGAACTTCAGCACCTCTGAGTTCTAAGTATCTCATTACAAGTTCTCACATACTCCCTAGGAATGCCAAGAACCACTTAAAATTAAGTTAGTCCTTTCACTATTTCTTACATGTGAAGAAATACATCCTGATCACACATTCAGACTGTGCCTTCTTATCTCCCTTCCATCTCAAACCCCTTCCCCAATGAGTTCTCTTCTAAGATTCATGCCATTTGGGTTGATTTTATGACCCATTTAGTTTTGCCATGGCTATGTGTGTGTTAACTGGATTGGAACTGTTCATTGGAGACTGGTGGGTCACAAGGGGCTACACAATAATAGTCACCAACTCTCCTTCCCCTTAACTTATCAGTAGCAACCAAGAGTTCTGCAGTGAGACTTAGCTATCCCACTATCCTCCTCCATCTACTCATGGATTCATTCTTGCCCAGACCCAGTGAAAGCACAAACAGCTGTTGTGGTTCCCTGATTGTAATGGCTGTCTCTTGCCCAGATTGCATGTCATAGCCCTTATCCCCACTTTCAGCTCTTGCATTATTTCCATCCCTTCTTCGACAATAAAACACCTTCTACAACAGGGCTTTTAAGCATCTTTAACTTTCATTTCCCATAAACTGCTCAAGTTGAGCCCACCCCAAATCTTCCAAAGATCATCTCTATTTAGTGGTTCTACACCATCTCCTGTATTTCTCAAATTAAAAATAAAAATAAAAACACAAGAATCCAAATTTAAATTGGATTCTTTGCACCTTGGTTTTCTACTTCCTTCCATTCAAAGTCTAATTTTCTGTTTCTAAACTAAAACAATGTTTATCCATTATTGCTGGTTTCCTCTTCACAGCTCTGAGCAGGTCTATTACCAGGACTAGACTGTGCTCTGTAAAGGAACTTGGAATGTTCTGGAATCTCTCTCACTTGGAACAACTCTAGTAGCATTGTGCTGCCCCTCAACATGATGGGATAATGTATCAAGGAGTCTTGTTGGAGTTATAGGCAATAGAAAGAGGCTTTTGATTTGGCACCCAGTTCCTCATTTCAGGTTGGTGCAGCCTCGGGATATGATTAAGAGCTTACAACCAGAACTTTCTCCCAAGTCGACTCGAAGGCTTACCTTTGTTACTTCTTGTATAACTACCCGAGAGACCTTGGTGGAGGAAGGAATCAAAGTCTGATGAAGACTAGGGTGTCTTTTTTACTGTGAGCTAAGACAACTTCAGAGAAATGTGTATACACTGTAGATCTAGCCTTAGTTTGACTCTTTCTGGAAAGAGTTCTTGCTCAGTCCAATTCATTCCCATTTACCACATACAGATTTCTTTTAGAGCCTTCCATGAGAGTACTGGAACATGCCTCTAAAGCCTTGCCTCAGGTTCTGCTTCTAGAGATCACAGGGAGACACAAATTAGAGTTACTGAGAATATAGAATAACAGGTAATGGTTTTATGGTCAATTCAGAATGACCCCAGATGAGTGCTTAGGGCTGAAATACATGGTAATTGTTTGGCTCTATAGGATTCATACAGATGACCATGGACCACAGCTAGAGAACCAGAGGTCATGAACAAGACAGCCACAAGTTACTTTATCACCAAAGTGCTTGCCTGTGTCTCACATGTGATTTTTTCTCCAGATATGGAATGTCTGTCAGCAGACCCCCAAGGAAGAAGCCAAAGTGGTTGAAGGGTGGAGATACTTCAAGAGATTCTGATGACCTATTTCTGGGACTTTATAAATGCCAAATTCTTGTGGAATTTCCAGCATCAACTTTCACTCTTTGAAAAAATAATATCTATAGCAAAATCCCACCATAAAGAAGTTTGATCTAGGCAGTAAAAAAGAAGGAGGGGAGTCACATATCTTTCTTTCATTTTAGTGCCCTATGGGCACTATGTGGATTCAGGCAGCATTTACTTTTGATTGACTATAGGATATTCTAAGTATTGTGACTTTTATGGAGTAGACACTGATCAAGTATGAATTTCCTTCTCTTAGCCCTAGGGTTATATTTCTCAAGAAACCTTCTCCCCTGGGACTCTATTGATAAGGGATGTCTCCCTGAACAATGATAGGTTGGGATTCTATGTTAAGTGGTTCTCTACCCTTCTCCCAAATGGTAAGGGAGTCTCTGGTTTTGGGGAGGAAGTTTTGAATCTCAATGTACTACAGAAGCTGGATTTGGATGCTGCAAATGCCCCTAAAAGCATTGTTTGGGCTTAACCAGCTAGGAATTCACACACTCATCCATGCATCCTTACCATTTTACACACTCAGCCTTTACCTGTGCTACTAACGAAAGACTCTAACTTAATTTCACACAAGAGGAGACACAGTTTCTCATGTCTATTCTAGCTCTTCCAATGCCATTGCCATTCTCCATCTGACCAGCAATGTGTCGTTGGAGAGGCCAGTATAATAAGCTTCGATACATCTGAAGACTCTAGTCCTGAGACTGGGGGAATGCACAGCCTTATATATTGTCCCATCACCCCTCTGTGTACCTGTTGCCTCTCAAGTTACATGTTTGCAGTTCTCAGGAAAAATAGACCTATAAAAGTGCTCTTTGAAGGAGCCTATGTCTCAGTGTATCCCTAGAACCTACAGCAGGGAGAGCAAACATCTTGCATCCTCCTTGTGTATAGTGAAAAAGTACTGGGAAGCCATGAGTTATTACCATAGAAAAGGGATTGTCTCTGTGTTTCTTACTCCTCTCTGGCTGCTTATTTAAGTGGGACACTACAGACAGCCAGCTTCCTGATTTCTGTCTAGAGCACCAGTGCTACCCAATTGATGACGTTCTTCCTTCTACATTATCTGTTTTTTTCAGGGGCAATGTCTGCCAAGGCCTGTGATTTGTGTCACTTTTGTCTGTAGGCTATCAATTCTCTCTGCCTTGAGAAGACTATTTTATCTCTTTCCACAGAATCCTTTGAGTTCCTCAGAGGGAACAAGTTAGGGACATGCCAGTTCAGTGACTTCTTATCAACAAGAATCCTAGTGTTCCATCTTCTTCCCCATGCCATCCCTTTGGTGCCTCCCTATGCAGCTGAATTCTTAGAATTTAGAAAAAGTTCTAAGAGGTCTTGGAGCATGCTTTGGTAGCTATATTTCTATCCCACCCCTGTTTCTTTCTCTACGTTTCCCTTTATGTCCTCTTACTCACTCACTGTCTCTCCTCTTCTACCCATATGTATGTGACTCCTGTGTTCCTACATATGTACAGACATTCACATATGTACATATATAAACCTGAGTCATTGCCATTGTCTGTTATATTTATGATGATATGTATAACTATATTTATAAATTTCATACCCTTGGAAGTAAACTGTGAAATTGTGTATGCTGTGAATAAATGCAAAGAACAGAGACCAATTTTGTTTTATGTGCATTGTTGGAGGAAGTTTTTGACGAAAATATCAATTCTGTAACAAAAAGATAAACCTGATTTCTAACCATTCAACCTTGTAATAGGTTAAATGATACCAAACCACTCATTGATTTTGTTTTTTTTTTTTTAAGTAATAAACAGAAACATATACCAATTGAAAGAGCCAGGCAATTCAATTATAATTAGGGAAACAAAAGTGATGAGCTTGAACAATGCTGCCTTAGTGTTTTGGGGGATAAGTGTTGAAATGCGAAGGACATAACAATGCAATATCTGCTTTCTCATTTTAAAGGCACCAATACTAATCACCGTATACTTGAAAGCCATGCACTCACTGAATGAAGTGCAAAAGCTCAACTACAGGTCTAATAGACAAGCTTAAAGAGACAAACATAGATACAAACACAATGAATGTATACGTGTATATATACAGAATCAAAATTTCAAGTATTTTGCATTCATTATAAAATCCATCCATCCCTTGAATAAACATGTTTGGCATTCTTATTATTCTTTAAGCTCTATGTTATGAACATATCCTTTGGTTACACATAGTGTAAGTGCAAATGACCACCCCCCCAAATAATTCTTTCCTTTTGTTTTTTGAGACTGTTACATAAACTTCCCTTGTAGGAACACAAGGAATAAAGCTTGTATTGCTGAAGAACAGTCAGACAAGGACAGGTCAACATACCTTTCGTAGCCAGACGCACACAGTTGATTTTTGTTTCCTGGGAACAACAAAAAGAATGAGACAGAATTTAATTAATTATTGATTATATAAGTATTATTATATAAAAGTACTTAGAGATTTGTACATATACATATGTATGTACAACCATTTAATTATAATTTAAAATTTGTCATTTCCATTTTTCCCCTATTGGGATCCCCTTTTAATTTCAGCTCTTTATTTCCTCTCACACTTAGAACATATGTTGTTCTGTTTGTTTCATTGCACCTACTACCTCATCAACCTTTTCACTAGACAGAACTACTTAATAAATATTCTAGCACCCAGACAGCTTAGCAATGTTCAGTGGTTATGTCATAGTTTACAGGGTGCTTTGTTCTCACTTGTGAAATAGCAGATGGAACCAAGCCTTCCTTGGGAAACTTTGTTATAAGCAGGAATGCATCTACCTGGACAGACTGAAATGTGTTATGAATCAAACTACAAAGTTCACGTTCTAAAAGTTGCTTTGGTCCTGAGATCTCTGACGAATTTCATAGTCTTTGTGACTAAATCTCTCCTGGGTGCTCTCATGCTCTCTCTCTCTCTCTCTCTGCCTCTCTCTCTCTCTCTCTCTCTCTCTCTGTGTGTGTGTGTGTGTGTGTGTGTGTGTGTGTGTGTGTGTGTGTGCCTGTGTGTCTATCTGTGTGTCTAGAAATCTATATATAAAATCTTTACTGGGTGAACTATTAGCTATTTCCCAAGAGAAAAGATTCCATAAATCTGTGACATTGCTGCCATGCTGTGGAGTTACACCAAAATGTGCTCATAAGGAGAACCATCTTATCCTGCTTTACGGAAACTCATTTTCCAGGAGGTCCTGGAACTGGTGGAAATCCCATCTGACTAAATTACAGTTTGAAGTCAATGTAGCAAAGAAAGTAAAAACAAGGAATGCAGACGTGTGAGACACCAAACCAAATATCTGTCAAGGACCCAGAGCTTATTATAAGGATCAACACTTTCTTGAAGGTATTTGGGTCCATTGGGTTAGAAAGATTGCATTGCAGTAATAAACCCTACATACTCCCATGGATAGGAACAGCAAAGGGTTATTCTCTACTCAGACTACCAGTCAAACATAGGTGTATGGCTAGGTCTGTGGGATGGGAGTGGAGTGGTGTGTAAATCACTTATTTTACTCTGAGAGATAAAGGCAGCTGCTCAGTCCACTTTAACCCAAAGTGAACAAATGCTGAGAAGGCAAACTCTAGAAATCGAATGCTTTATTTCAGAATCGACACACTCAATTCTACTCCTGTTTCATTGGGTAGAGCTAATAATATGACCACACCCAGTTTCTGTGAAGAAGGGAAATGGAAACGTCCACATCTTACACCCAGAAGCAGAGAAGAAATGTCAATGTGACTGCCAGAGTCTATTCCATCTATGCCAGGCTCTGAACACTACAACTTGTCTCCTTCATTAGCTCAAGTACAATTCTCTATAATTAAGTCCTGCATCCCAGCTCTAACTCCTGGCTGAACAGAAAGTTTACCCTTGCTTGCAGAGGGAAAGGGCTATGACACTCAGAGATAGTTGTCAGATCATAAATGTTCTTTGTCAGCAACTCCTCCCCCAAAGATAAGAAGAATTCAAGTCTTCTGAGTCCCCTTTTTTGCAATGACAAGAACAGGGGGCACAGTCTTTATTAAGCGTTGTCCTTATATACCTTTATATATCACTATTTTCATTACTCATATTGAACTTCTAATAAGATAGCCGAAGTACAGAATCATATTTATCTATCACTATGGGTTCTATCATTGATCTAATTCTAATAACCTATCCTACTGCTATCACTTACAAATTTTTAGAAAGCATTTCCTAACATTCCATCCAAATTATTAGCTAGTAGTAACCAGGAGCATGCCCTGTGGTATACACTACAAGCTCTTATCTTGTCTGACGTTCACTTATGCACCAGAGCCTTTTGACTAGTTAGTTGTTAGTTCTTCTGACTGCTCAAGCATTCAGATTTCTTAAATAGCTCAAGTGCTCATACTTTGTAACTTCTGCACAGTAGAAGCTGTAGATGTTGGTCAAGTTCATTGCAGATATAGCTCGTCTGCCTAATGCATTTGCCTAACCTATTAGCCTGAGGCACCTCTTAAAGAAGGAAGGTTGGGTTGGTCTGATTTGTTCTTTGGAATGAATATTTCTTTTTTCATTATGAAAATGTCCTTGTAAATAGTAACTCTGCATTTTATAGGATGAAAATCATAAATGTTAAACAGTTCAACAAATAATGGTTCAAATATTTGAAGTATTCCCTTTAGGATTACATATGAAAATTGAACCTTGTTGTATTTAAAAGAAAAGGTTATTTTTTAATTAAAGAACACATCCAGAAGACAGAGAGAAACACAACCAAAAATACACATATGAAAGAGAAATAATATCTAAATGGCTGAAGTCACAAATAAGTTAAAATGTGTACATGACGTTAAAGTGAACAAAATTATAGTTTGCTTTTCATATTTGTAGAGAGAGGAGGATCCTTAAATTCCTGCTGGTTTCCAGCTCTGTGCTTTGTTTAAAGGGCCTGAGATAGTTTGAGAAAATGTGACCTTCAGAAAACTGAAGCCCTCCAAATGGTGATATCACATTGACCAGCACACTGACCACCTCTAGGCAACCAAAGAGTGGGAGAGGTGTAAGATACGAGTCAGAGGCTCATCAGCTTCATATCAGTATGAAGGAAAAAAGATTTGAAAGTATAAGAAAACTGGCCATTTTTATACGTGGTAATTGCTTATAACAGTGGGCAAAGGTTGGATGAAGCCAAGACTGTTGGAGTCATCCTTTGGTATCCAAGCTAGATGGTGTCCAGAGCCCCCATGGGTACCAAGCCCACAGATGTGCAAGTTCCTTAAGTTCCAAATCCATGATTGTGCATCTGTGAATGCAGGCAGGAGACTGTACATAACTTTAAATCTTTCCACATCTAAGATGGTACTCTCATAGAATAACCTTGAACATAGAAAATGACATCCTGATTAAACATGTTGGATCCAGAGTGAAAGCTAAGAGAAATTTGTTTGTCCAGCTATATAAGCCCAATGAATGAAGTGGTGGCACATCACCACAGCAGAACATGAAGACATTATTACAACTAAAGGGATTGTGAGTTCCATGTCATTACATAAAACAGCAAGCATGAGAAATATTGTGCGGGGCTGGAGCGATGGCTCAGTGGTTAAAAAGACTTACTGTCCTTGCAGAGGATCCAGGCTAAGTTTCCAGCACCCACACAGGAGTACACAACAACCTTTAACTACAGTTCCAAGGGATCCAGTGCTCCGGTCTGGCTCCAGAGAGCACCAGACATACATGTAGTGCACATACACACATGCATGCAAATCAGTCATACATGAAAAATAAACTTTTAACGAGAAAAAATTAAATGTTAAGCAAATCACTATTGTTATTCTAACTCATGGGTAGTTCCAAGCATAAGAGAAGTTCTGAAGAGAGTGTAATTGTTGCACTATTACTTAGATATGACACACAAAAATATATCTTATATGCAGCCTAAAAATTTTATCATCAAGTAAACACACATTTATGACAATCACCCAAGTCTAAAAGACCCAGTATCACCAACATGTCAGATATTTCTTCCAGTCTCCTTCTCAGAGTTTCCTTTCTGCAAAAGTGATTAACCTGCCCTCTGTGGGGATTTTTTAAAACATGTGTTCACATGGGTGGGAAACTTGGGTAGCTACAAGGTTTTGTTCTATCACCCACTGTTGCTCCCTGTATCATTTGTGAGACTTCCTAACTTGACTTAGGATCATCTTCTCCTTTATGCTTTCAAGCCCGAAAACCAAGTTGTTTCTTCACTCCACACCTTCAACTCTGCACTTGACAAAGTCTGCTTTCTGTAAGTTAGAATGCATGTCTGCTTACACTAAGTCTTCCCGACTTTCACAACATGAAGCTGACATGTTCACTTTTTCCTAAGTTCCTGACAGCTTTAATTCCATAAGCAATCTGTCTTTGTTGGTTAGAATTAGGTAAAGAATTACAAAGCCCTGAGTCACTCCCTTGACCTTCCTGTTGATTGGATTGTCAGCAAGCAAATCGGAGCCTTGCTGGACACTGTAAATTCTATTACATGAGAGGTCTGGCCAGTGTGCATGTCTAGAGTCCCAATCAGATTTACAGGAAGGAAGGATTTTCATTGTGCTCAGATTGTGCAAGAACTTGGAGGGTATAGTATTTTTTGTTCTATCTCTACCAGACCTTACTCTGGGTCTATAATCTATATTGGAACAACACACATTACTTTCTCATCTTTTAAACCTTGATCATGTCTTCCTTCCTGCCATAGATTTGACAATCTTTATGAAGATACATGTCACATTGGGGTAGAACTTGTTACAACCTCACTTTGGTACTCATGTTGAGCCTTCCCCTCTACTCCAGGCCCTGCCAGAGCTTTGCAAGACTGAGAAAGCCACTTTCTGCCTCTGTGGCTGTTTTTTCATAATCAAAAAAGCAGAGGAAAAGACTCCTTTTGTGGAAATGCTGGATCAGCCTGAGGACATTCCCAACTATTGAATCTGGTCTTAGCTACTGGCACTATTCCTGCCTTCTTGATACCACTCTATTGTACCTTGCCTTAAGCAAGTCAGGTTTTACACATTTTGTCTATGAATGCCTTTTATCATAAGCTATGTCTGACTTGCCCAATAATACATTCATCCATCCTTTAACAATTATCACAATTGTCAGATGCCTCTTCAATGTAAGATCTCAGTGCAAGTGTCCACAGCATCCAAGTGTGCCATGACTTCTATTCAGAAGGTGCAGAGTTAATATATATCATCCCCCTGATCAAGAGACCTTGGGAAGCAGATAATACTTGCAGTTCTTACTGTATCATCCCATTAGATTCCTGGTACTATAATGAAGGTTTAACTCTGACTTGATAGTTTGTAAATGCTTTTCCCATTTTTATCTTGTGTTTTTGTCTTCTCTAACACTGAACTC